CTGCCCAGGTAAAAGAGGAAATGCCCAACCTGCAACCTGTACACAGAATTTTCAATTAAAGTGGCATTTCTCCAATGAAAATCTGTCACAAATGTTCATATACTATTAAATGCACTACTATTTCTTGATTGCCACATAAAAATGCGCCCAAAACGCCACAAAATTTGTGCCGCTTTAATCATCATCATAATCGCATCATCTTTAGAACACCCTATCACAAAATTAAATGGTTAAGGCTGCCTGTCAATCAGGCCAGGCAGATATGTAAATTACGGTTACGGGGGCATCTCATGACAAACATATACTTAAGATAAATTCAGGTTAATATGTGACGAAAGAATTTTGTGGTATAAAGTTATATATTATTAATAACCATATAGGTAGATGAACTTATGTTAAATATCTCTACACATATGCACACACAGGCACACGCATGCAAGCACGCACGCACACGCACACATACACTGACCTCTAGGAAAGCTGTTGGTGCGTTTTCCACGTTTGGTTTTTTGTCCATAAACTTGTAAATCTTCAGAGGACCAGTATAAGATGGTGCACTGACAGTGCCATTTTTACCAATGAAAAATACCTGTAACAAAATGTTAAATTATTGTAGTGATCAACACAGCAACCATACATGCGATTATATTTTTAGTATACAATGAAAAAAGTATATATTCCATACACTGAGTAATGGCATAAGCACTCATGTTTACTTACAAAGTCAAAACTCTTGTTTAACTCACACATGGTTAAATATGGCAACTTAAACAATTGACATCCCAAAATATTACAATAATAAAAGCTTTACTTCTTACGATACTTCTGCAACACAAAGTATCATCTAGATGTGGAATACCTGTATGCCTTCTGGTATTCTAAATACTTCACAAGCATTCGGGTTCTTCGGCATCTCATTGATGTAATTATCACTCATTATGCTGTCTCCAATATCTTGGGAAGGTGCAGGTCGCTTTTTAGGCGAAGATGTCTTCTGTGTAGGTGGTGCTGGCTCAGTCAGTGTTCTGCTCGATGAAGCTGCACCACCAAGTTGTTCATCTGGTGAAGAGTCGACTTCCATGAAGCGATCATTGCTGGGACTGCTGTCTCTGCTTGAAGCTTCCTGCGATGTGAGAGCATTCAGCCGTGACATCACTTGGGCCCTAGCCGTAGTGAGCTTCTGGTATATCACTTGCGCTTTCTCCGGCATCTCGATGCAGGGACGGAACAGGCCATTGTTGATCAGCTGCAATCCCGATTGATACTTTGCAATTGCTTCTGACTTTCTGTTAGCCTCTTCCAGATGGATTGCTTGCGATACATGAGCATACGCTTCATCATGCAACTGCTTTAGCTTGGCATAGGAAATCTCATAGGATTCTCTTGTATTTGCAAGGACTGAGCGAGACGTTCCATAACCCTCTTTGCCTCGTGATCCTGTTTGTGGTTGGATCTGTTTCTCCATCAATATATCTTGTGAGTACCAATTTAAGAATCCACAATCAATTGTAGAACAGATTCAACTGGTTAAACACTGAGCAGTAATGTTACTGCCTGTCTCACTTTGCCTGGATCCCCTATAAAAAACATAAAAATGACATGTTCATGAACATATAGACCGTTGAGTAATTGTCAAGAGTGACAGATCAACGTAACCATATACATGAGAAATGAAATAATATTAATAATACCATGAACACATTTAAACAATAGTATAGGCTCATTATAATACTTATGCTGTAATAGCCTATAATGACTTCAGGGGAACACTTTGTGTAACTAGATCCAGTGACGTATCTCATATTTGCCTCTGAATCATTGAATGTACTTTTAGTTTTACTTGGCCCAATTAGTGGCATAGCCAGGATTTTTTAACAGGGGGCCAAAAACAGCGAACTGCGCTAAATTGTGGATGACTTAATATTTGAATGGTTCCTCCGCCTCCCTCTCCACACCCTACGCTCTTCCACCTCTCAGCTCTGCAATCTTTGTTTTGGGCGCCATGCAGAAAGGCGACATTTTTGTTCGTTCTCTGCTCCTAAGATATGCAACTCTTCAGTGACCGATCCAGGATTCGAAGGGGGTGTGAAAAAGAGGCGGGGGGGGGTTACGAAGGTCCTCCCCCAGAAAATTTTGAAATGGTATGTAATGTTTGAATGCTATCTCACGGAGACAAACAACGCCTCACACTAATGGTTGCTGCGAACAAGAACTAATTAATGCCCCCTATCAGGGAAACGTAAGACTACACAGTTGTACACTGAATATCACATCTCTTCCCTTCTTATTGGATTGACAACCATGCAATGTCTAATATAATGGAATAATAAACACTCAATGAAAGTTAAACAAAGTCCTTTAACTTATGTTTAAAACCCTATTAACAGCAGAATTGCTTATTGTTGAAGAAACTGAAAGTAGCATGATTGATGTCCAAAATACAATTGGATTGAACATATTAGGTAACATTAAACAATATAATTAACTGACAGTTTTTCCTGACAAATTTTCACCCTGATTAATGTCCACTTATAAACGGATCAAACAACTGGAGCAGGCTGATTCTCAACCGGACCTGCCTGGATCATTAGGAGCAATGTCCACTTCGTCATAGTCCAGATCACGAACGAGTCTTTTATTATTGTTAGTCCCTGACCTCTTTACCTTCTCACAAAATTTGTTGAAGAAGGACGTGTTTCGCGTTATACGATGTCCATCACACTCTGCTGTCACCTTTGTTCCTTCCACAGTTATCACACTCATAGGTTTGGGACTGTAAGGAGGTGTCAGCTTGTTGATTTTCTCCTGTCTCACATGTACAGTGTCTCCAACGTGTAGATTGGAGTCCTTTGCTCTCCGTTTAGAGTCCGAGTAAGATTTCATCCTTGCTTTGGCAGCCCTATCTCCCGATCTGATTTCACTGTTGATTTTGTCCGGGGTGCCCTTTCCATCATTGACTGATGGGAGCTTGATGTGAATGTCACGTCCGAACATAACTGTTGCTGGTGGGACTCCTGTTGTGGAGTGCACGGTGTAGCACGATAATTTTTTAGGTATTTGAACAGTTCCTCTTTCCATGATTTATGTTCAACAGCTGCGGCTCTGGTCACCTTTCCTAAGTTCCGCATAAACCTCTCTACCTCCCCGTTGGCCTGTGGCCACAAAGGAGTTACACGATGGTGTTTTATACCGAGATATTTAGTGAAGTCTGCAAAGTCTTGACTGTTGAAAGGAGGGCCGTTATCGGACCTCAACCTTTCTGGGGTTGCAAACTGAGAAAACACTGTCAAGGACAGGAATGACAGTCGTAGCAGTGAGTGAGTGTATGATCTCAACCACTGGATACCTGGAGAAATCATCTATCAGAACCATAAGATGTTCTCCTGATGGTAGCTCACCATAGAAGTCAATGCTGACAGACTGCCATGGGTAATCCGGTAAGTCTGTCATTTGTAGAGGGACCGTAGTCTGGGGCAGGGCTCGAATTAACCGACGGCAATTGCCGTCGGTGCCCCTATCAATCGCCGTAGTGCCCCTGAAAATCCAACCCGACCAACGGCAGTCACCTGCCTTGCCATTTTGTGTAATTTCTGTCGGTGCCATTTAATCTACTGCCCTGGTTTCGTTTTTAGTCGAGTCAATATAACACGTGCGCGTGCGTGCTGGAGTTGCAATGATGAGCTTAAAACCGATAGTCGCAGGAGGGAATAACAGCATCGGATAATTATTCGCTCCTTATACTAGCGGGCATGTAAAATTTATTGTTACTGTACTTCCATTAGCAGAGGGGGGTACAGGGGTCGGTGTTACGGTGTAAGCTTACATGGGGGCATATTGTTTTGTACATTAAAAGCAAGACGATGTTGATGTACTCATTTGTTATGTTTTCCTTTATTTTTACAAAAGTGCCTTGGTGCTCTTCTCAAATTTTGAGAGTTGCCTTGGTGCCTTTTAAAATTGCCTCTGTACCCTTCCATTTTAGAGAAAATTCCAGGCAATTTCTCACATGCCCTACAAAAATTGCCTTGCCCTTCTCGTCGCTTAATTCGAGCCCTGGTCTGGGGTGTTGTGATATTACTCTGGCATGCTATGCATCTTTCTATTTGGTCCGCCATTAGCTTGTCCACATTTGGGAACCACACCTTCGCTCTGAGCAATTGCTTAGATTTAACTAGTCCCTGGTGGCCTTCATGAGAAAGCTCTATTGCTCTCTGTCGCAATGACTGTGGGAGAACTATGCATCGTCCTCTGAGGACTAGGCTTTGGTCCGCTGTAACCGATAGCTCCCCTCTGAACTTCTGGTATTGTGAGATATCATGTGACCACCGATCTGATCTGATGGCCTTTATGACATCTTGCATTTCCTTATCACCAGCAGTTGCTGCTCTGATCCCATCAAGGGTCAAGGCAATAGGAGTGCTTGCCTGTGCCAGAAAGTTAATGTACTCTTCACCGATTCTCTCTGCACGGCTGCATGATGCACTATTCCCAGGATGTCGGCTTGTAAAGTCTGCTGGGTTATCCTTGCCTGGACGGTACTGTAGCATCATATCATACTGTTGAAGCTGCAACACCCAGCGTTCTATCCGAGCTGGTGGTGTAGACCTAGGGTTGTTGAAAATCCCTAAGAAAAGTCGATGATCGGTAAGGATGATGAAGTGACTTCCATAAAGGTACAGGTGGAATTTTTTGCAACTGCAACTGCCTCCCTTTCAGTCTGGGAATATCGTTGTTCAACTGAAGACAACGCACGACTGGCATAGCTTATAACAGTCATCTCGTCACCCGACTTTTGAGTCAGAACTGCAGCAACACCTACCGGGCTGGCATCTACTAGCACCTCAGATTGTTTTGTTGGGTCAAAATAGCCCATCACAGCATCTGACGTGAGAGCTGATTTGAGATCCTTTAGGGCATCTTGGTGCCTCTGGGTCCATGACCATTTAGTGTATTTTCTGGTAAGTTCCCAGAGTGGCGCAGTAATTGACGCAAAGCTTGGTATGAACCTTGCGCAGTAATTAGCGAGACCCAAAAGAGATCGGACTTCTGTCGCGTTCTCCGGGGTAGGAGCATTCTGAATGTCTGAGACCTTTTGTGGGTCAGGTGAGACCCCTTCTCTGCTGAAGGTGTAGCCAAGGTATGTCAGTGATGACTGACCAAATCGACACTTGTCTTTATTGATAGTGAGTCCACAGGTGTGCAGTCTCTGAAGTGTGGCGTGCAGACGTCTTTCGTGCTCCCCGTTGTTTCTACCGTACACTAGAATGTCATCGCTAACATTCAAGACACCATCCATTCCCTTGAGTGTATCTCTGATGGCATTCTGGAAAATCTCAGATGTGCACGAGATTCCAAAATACAGTCTCTTGTAACGCCTTAGGCCCACATGTGTCGAGAACGTGGTTATGAAACGAGACTGCTCGTCTAACTCAAGTTGATGATAACCTTGATTTAAGTCAATTTTTGAGAACACCCGACTGCCATTTAGATCACTCAGTACGTCTTCGATCGTTGGCGTGATGTGGCGTTATCTCTTGATTGCTTGATTTGGTCCGCGCATGTCCATGCAAAGTCTTATGGCATCCGGGTTCCAAGGTTTAGGAGGTGTGACTATTGGAGAAACCCAAGGGGTCAGGCCCTCGACCTCCTCTATTATATCCAAATCCTCGAGTTCACGCACTTTGTCTTCCACTTTCTGTCTCAAGTGGAAGGGCACTCTCCTGTGTGGTAGGGCTATTTGCTGTACAGAGTCATCAATGTGAAATTTTACAGAGAAGTTCTTTAGCTTGCATTCCAGAACGCTCGAATCTTTTCACAACATTACAGCAAAAATATACAACGAACCACCATGATATTGGCATCTGTGTGTAGCTGAATGGTCACTTGTTCGAAATATCCATCTTGCAACTTGGTACCACATACTTTACCCAGAATTATATAAGAAATCCTGTTCGAATTTGCCGCGAATTTCCCACGGAGCTGTTTCGTAAATGGGTGCAACAATCCGAAAATCCACGAAACGGCTCCGTGGGAAATTCGCGGCAAATTCGAGCAGGATTTCTCATATAATTCTGGGTAAAGTATGTGGTACCAAGTGGCAAGACGAATATTTTGAACAAGTGACCATTCAGCTACACACAGATGCCGATATCATGGTGGTTCGTTGTATATTTTTGCTGTAATGTTGTGAAAAGATTCGAGCGTTCTGGAATTTCTTTGCGGACGCTTTCTTACCTTCTCTATCCTACTGTGTATTTGTGCACAATGGCGTGCACGCTATAGGAATATGTGTTGCAGCAGTGTATTGGACGGTATTGAAGTGAAGTTATTAGGTCAAATCAAACTATGAATACAGCCAGGTCTAGTACTGACAAGTTGTAGGCTTATTAACCATCATTTTATTATTGAAACGGCCCAAGTGCCTGTGCTTTCAGACTATTAAATATGCTACCCACACTGGTGCACAAAACAGAAATGCTATAGCTTTACTGCTTCCTTGAATGTCGTTATAGGCTTATATTATTAGGATTATTAGGCTTATAAGGCATTTGCTGAATGTCTATGATATGAAATAAATGCTATAGCCCCCCTACAGCTTGTTTGACCTTGGGAGGGCACCAAACCTTTAGTCTATCCTCCAAAAATTTCATTTCCCATGCCTGAAATATGTATGTTCAAGGTTGGGGTCTTCATTGTGGGCTATGCATTTGTCTGCATACCATGTAGAAAGATTTTGTAAATAAAAATTGCAAGCCAATATCATAATATTTTTTAACTACCTGCTATTTTTTAGAATGCTACAATGTTTATTGCGGCTTTATGTACGTCATTTGTGCGTGTGTGTAGGTGATGGCAGCTTGTGCGAAAACAATAACACCGGTGACCTTGGAGCTTGGTGGAAAGTCTCCGCTCATTATCTTCGAAGATAGTGACATCGACAATGCAGTCAGAGGAACGTTAAATGCCAACTTCCTTTCCCAGGGACAGGTATTGCACAATCTTCTTTTACTTTTTTCCCTTTCTTCTTAGTTCTTTTCCTTCTTCTTCCTCATCTTCTTTTTTTTTAGCTTTTTTTTGCTAGACATCGTCAAGCTGAGCTATTGCCATGGGTTGTCGTACGTCCGTCCTTCCGTCAGTCAACATTTTGCTACGGTCAACGATAACTCAGGAACCGTTTGACCCACATGTTTGAAATTGGGTATAGTTGTTACTGCTATGCTCCCATATTAAACGTCCTATTTTGGAGCACGCCAGTCGACGTACTTTCGAGCCACGGCAATTTTTTGGCAATAATGGGAATTGCCATTAGTCAGTTCAGGTTCAACGGATTTTGCTCATTTTTGGTACCGGTATGTGAATGAATAAGGGCTAGGGGTTTTGATATTTAAAAAAAATTATGCAAATTAGGTAGGGTTTGGCAATTATATAGCATATTATATAGACACACAGATAACAAACAGTCTGTGGTGTCACACTCGTCTGGTTTGTTTTACAAGATTTCATTGACAATATCTTTAATGCAAAATTCCTGCTATGAACATATGATATAACGATTTATGCTAGGAAACATCAAAGCGGGTATAGCGCCATCTACCGTCACAAATTGTGATTCATTTTGGTTTATAAATTATTTATGATTTATTTATATTATTTATTACTTTCACATAAAAAATTACACATATAATTATCAAGAGTATATAATAAGAGTTTAAAACTGACTTCTTCTCACTCACTCATTTGTGTCCTTTTTTTTCCTTATTCTTTTTCTTTTGTATTTATATTAACTACTTCCAAACTTCCACTCAGGAAAGCATGAAATAGGTAGGATTAGGTTCATGAACATACATACATGAGTGCATACCAAAAGGGATTGAGTGCATACCAAAATTTCCTTGTAAGATAGCGGAGACTTGTGTTCGCGCACTTCCAATTTTTTTTACGTAAAATTGCATTTTTTTTTAATTGTGGTTTTAAAATAGAGAGCAAATAGTTGTCTTAGACTTAGTAGCTTGACCTATGAGCTTGACCAGGGTCGTAGCCAGAGGTAAATTTTGTAGGTGGCGAAATTATGTTGTGAGTTAAAGAACAAGGTGCGTAGCGAGCCAATAGGGCGTGGGGTATGGGGCCAAAAAAATATTTTTGAGAAATTATGTAGGAGGCATTTGCCTAGCTCCTAATGGTAGCCTAATGGTAGCTACGGCCCTGAGCTTGACATTAAAAGCGGGATAATCCGACATTTTGGTGTTTAGAAGGACCGAGATTATGAATGCTCACTTGATCGCTAAACGAACGACTCCCGCACCACCTATCTTAGCTGACGGACACCTGACGGGCATTTATTCGAACCGAAGCGTGAACATAATCAGCTGACTGCGCTGGTAAGTATTTTCTTGAGTATATAGTGTATTTCAACTAATGCCAAGCGTTACTGCATCCGTCATTATTGTTGCTACATTCGCTCGCGAGATTCTACAATTTTTACGAGAGAATATTTACAATTTTTTACGAGAGACCACATTTTTTCCGTGAGTTCAGAATACAACTTTGACATTGACTTCGCTTCAGTTACTGAGTGAGTTAGGTCACAATGCCCCACATTTCTCCGAGGGACTTCTCATCGTATCTGTGACTTTGTAAGTTGTATCATAACTAACACTGTAACAGGCTATAACACATGTTTACACAACGGGAGGTTATCGTATGTGCCGACGCCGTGTGAACAAGTGTACGCGGCATGGATGTTCATCATTGTGAAACAAACATGTTTCACCAAACATAGCCCGACCAGGCTGTGCGACGGATTGTCTATACAGACTACAGTATACGGATTGTCTATACGGTATTCTAACCCTAGCAATACCGTTTCTTGGAGCTACACCAAACAGTGAAAAACTCATCGCCATAACTCATAAGCACAAAGTTATCATTGAACATTGCCTGCATCATGTACTGTAGTAAATTTCTTGGAATGACCTCCACAAATGCTCTCAAGCATTGCGTGGCATCCATGGACCATGCCTTAGCTGGTTCAAGGATAGAGATGATGTCCAGTATGTAATCCTACAGTGATTTGGATAGGATGATGTTAGTTGATAAGATAGGACCGGACATCTTCTCTATCCCTGAGCCCCTTAGCTCAATCTTTGCTATTTTCGCGACCTTGTTTACCAAACCTAATACAATGAAATTATTGTAGGTAGTGTAGATTTGGCCTAATAGTAATAGGGTACTAATACTAGTAATACTATAATAGTTACACAATGTAAGATAGGATTTATGTATTATAAGTGTGGTATTGTGTTACATCATTTACCTAACCTACCAAATAAACTATGTCACCTCCACGTTTCACCTTCGTCACATTGACTGTAGAAGTGGCAGGGCCTTATGGTAAAGTAAAATGGTGTGGTAAAAATGTGTTCACTTAGTATTTTTACGCAATAAGTTCACACACCTATCGCGTATTGAAAATAAATTTCGGCTGTCATCACTTATGACCAACAGCATACATCACATTGAAGGATAGGTACAGTTGGGAGTCATCAGCATAGCAGTGGATATCCGGAAGATGAGCTTCAAATATTGAGAAAATTTTGACGTATATATGTTGAAGAGAAGAGGCCCAAAGGCATGAGCCTTGTAGAACACCCCACTTGCAGTCGAAGCTGTCTGATAAAGTCCCACGTGCGCTGTGAGAAATAGGATGAAAACCAGTCAAGTGCTTTGCCCGTAGTGCCAATCCTAGACTGAAGGCTCTTGAGTAAAATATCATGATCGACAGTATCGAAGGCAGCTGCACTGAGACCCAGAAGCACAAGGAGTGTAACTTGCTGGTTGTTCATGTTCATTAATATGTCGTTCTTAACTTTTAACAGTGCTGTTTCAGTGCTGTGTTGTTTCCTGTATGCTGATTGCATGATCGGGAACAAATCAGTAAAGAATTATCAAGATCAATCATCATATATCATCAGATTTGAAATCAGTATGATTTTTATCTTATAATCCATATTTTTTAGAAGCTGGATTATCCTTTTTTAAAGACATTTTTCTAAATTACACAGTAAATTTCGATTAAAATTGTGAGATATTTTCCCGCAGTTAATATATCGACACGTGTTATTCATGACAAAATGTGCTGAATGTATGGTCAATATAATTGAAGTTTTGTTTGCATAATGTTGTTGCTTTTATAGTTGTTTTATAATCTTTGATTGTTATGAGAGACTACAAGATTTTATGGGATATCGTAGATTTACAAGAAAATTTGCTAGGATTTTCATTCTTGTGACATTGCAATGTTTCTCTCGGCCATCTATGAAAAAGTTATGGCCAATTAATATTAAGATTAACATTTTTTTCTGACAATGACTGCTAAGGATTTACCAACTATTTGTTTTGATAATTATCATTATAGTTGTAACTGCGGTCATAAACATCAAACAAGCATGTTGCGGACAGCATTTAGTAGACCCCTGGTTGGGCTTCGTACGTTCTTCACGCATTCTACACACTCTAAGCGGCCAAGTCTCAACATTACCGAACCACTCAACTATGTTGGAGGAAGGCAGACGGCTCCACGGGATGCCCTAGCTTCATTCCAAGTGCAGGACCCAGCAACAGGTATTGGCTAAATATGAACCTTGTGCATGTCTTGTCAATGGTTCTCGGAGATGCACGTTAAAGTGTTTTTCTACAGATTCCCGTGATCGTATGTTCGCGTGTCCGATAAATTGATAGTATAAAATTAATTTGTGAAGTAAGCATACGGTCTTTTATTATGTTTTAGGGGACGTCATTTGCACCTGCCCTGGATCAGGCCAAGTTGATATCGACAAGGCTGTCGAGGTTGCAAGGCAGGCGTTTGTGGGTTGGTCAGAGACGCCAGGTGTTGAAAGAGCGAGGATTTTGACCAGTGCAGCAAAGAAACTGAGAGTAGGTAGATAATTAAGCATCGTGGTTACCAAAAGTGAGTGGTCTTCCCATTAATGCAGGTGCATGCACGTATGGCAGGCGTATATCAAGAAAAAACTGCATTGATAGATTGAGACATCAGGGTTCTCCCCAGGATGAAATTCAAACAGGGGGGAGGGGAGGGAGGGGGAGGGGGGAAGGGGGGTAAACTAAAAGGGAAGGGTCGGGGGGCGGGGGGCGTGTTTTTTTACCCGTATGCACTAATTAATGCATAAAATCGCCGACCACACCATAGACGGTATTTGGGTTTCTGTATATATAGATAGCTGAGTCGGTGTACAGTTAGTGTTGGGTGTGGGACAGGGTGACTCGGACTGTTTGTACTTGTGTATTGTCTGCAGTGCATGCGTGGCAGGGTAAAATACACGCGCCGGGTGTCCTGGTCGAATGGAATTCTTGACGATCGATTCCCCCGCTGCCAACTTTTATGTTGGTAGAATTTAATCGGGCGGAGGTAATTTAACGGGCGCACGATTGAAACAGGGGGAGTTTTCCCAACGGGGCACGCGCGCCCCGTTTGCGCAACGTAGGGAGAACCCTGGACATGACTCTTCACTTTCCTGATCCACTGACCAGATCTGCTCCAGTTGTTGTTAGCTGCGATGTATATTTTATACTTTTATTTACTCTGCAAAATTAACCTTTTTTGTCTGATAGAAATGAGCTTTTGAAAAAAAGGGAGTCTACATTAAAAGTAAACACTGCTGTCAAAAGTTAAAACTAAAGTTAACAATAACGCGTGACGCATATGAACGGTATATGTATATATTTCTATGCGGATGGACTAAGGGAATCGAATGTACCTTGCAGGAACGGATTGAGATCGTTTCTGAAATGGAATCCAGGGATTGCGGCAAGCCGATCTGGGAGGCGCGAGTCGACATCGAGGCAGCAGCAGATTCGTTCACGTACATGGCTGGCCATGCTGCAACGACATCCGGTACGTTCTCACGTATACGTAGTGAAATTAATGATGGTGATGATAATAATATTAATAGTCATGTTATCTGTCATGTTGCCTTCTTAGCATTTAATTAAATCTTTGTGATCTTTGTTTTTTCTGTAGACTATATGTAAACAACTTTAGCAGCACAATAATGCTACTTCATTACTATATTGTCATACCTATAGTGGCGTAATCTAGGTAAAAAATATTTTTGTGATATATGATTCATTATCAATAGGAACTGCAATGAATTGAAGTTTAAGGTAACTCTTAATTGGCACATGTTTTGTGTTGTACAAGCCTTATTAGAATAATTCATGGAATTCATGACACGTTTATTTCATCTACGCGAGCTTATTTCTAGAATATCACGATGACCACCAAACATTATTGCTGGGCTGGCAGCATGGTAGTGTTGAGTTTCCAACACCATACAAGAAATCTCTAGTAAGGGTGGCATGTGTACCTATGCGTTAATGCAGTCGGTTCATGGATATAAGCGCTGACCACAATTCATTTTCGCAATGTGCGACGTGCAATGTGGCGAATGTGGACAGCTCTTATATCCTTTGGCCATGCAGGCCATAGTTTATGGAACGCTGTGCACAGTGACTCGGCACCTTTGCAACTAAATTGACTCACCTGAATGAATAGCGAATTCATGGCAATAAGCAAACGTTTAATCAACAAAACGCAGATACACTGAAAACGTAGCCATGATTAAACGCCCCCCCGCCCACCCGCCACACACACACGCGTCGTCTTTGAAGGGTGCTGACGTTCGACGTTGTTCGCTTCTTTCAGGCGTCGGGCAGCACGTGCGGCTTCCTGGCGGCTCGTTCGCGATGGTGTGTCGCGAGCCGATCGGCGTATGCGCGGCCATCGGCGTCTGGAACTTCCCGCTGCTCACCGTTCCTGGAAGGCGGGTCCAGCGCTCGCCTGCGGCAGACACGATGGTCTACAAAACCGTCGCCGCTCACTCCGCTCACCGCGTCATCGTTGCCGAGATATTCGAGGACGCGGGCTGCGAAGGGCGTCTTCAACGTCGTGCAGGTGCGCCAACGGCTTTCGTCGCGAACGCGAGTCGGAAACACGGGCTGGTGGGCGATGTCCTGTGTCCGCCGAGCGGCGCGAAGGGGCGTGTGCTGGTGGTGCTGGTTTGGCTATTGCTTGAGTCGTTCTAGTGCGAAAAGTTGGGAGATGGAAGTGAATTATGGGCAGTGAATACCTTGTGCAAACTAATGGTTCTCGGCGTGGTCATGCGTGATTAGGTTTTATTTAATGCAACGTGTATGTATGTTGTATGTCTCGTATGTGCAGTATAATATAATTCTATGGTCATGCTGGTAGGTTTCATTTATGTGGCGTGTATTACGTATTCAGAGATGTATCTCGTAGGTGCAATATCATTATGACAGGAATTGTTAATATTTGAAGTGTTGCTTGACGTGACACATCTCGCCCTCGACATCTCTGAACACGTTATTGGTTAAATCAGGTAGGTGTTTGTATGTTCTGTGTTTCTAGGAGCTGGGGATACTGAGACATGCTTTGCCGTCATCAAGATGTCTCGAAGGTGTCCTTCACAGGCAGTGTTGCTGTTGGTGCTAGTTAAGTAGGAATGTTTACATATCAGGGCATAGTAATTTTTCCGCAGATCCGCAGATTTCCACAGATTTGACAGTACCCGCTGGGTTGATCTCGTGAAAGATATTATATATATTATATATATATATATATATATATAAGTAAGATGAAAAAATATAGGCAGGGGGAGGGAGATGAGAGTATACTTGGGTTATTAGAGAAGCGCTACTTCTTACCCTCATCATGATTGTAAATCTCATTTCGTTTGTTATTTAAAAATGATTACAAGCTTTCAGACACAGGCACTTAGGCCGTTTCAATAATAAAATGATGGTTAATAAGCCTACAACTTGTCAGTACTAGTCCTGGCAGTACCGGTATTCATAGTTTGATTTGACCTAATAACTTCAATTCATCCGTCATCAATCAAATTAATCAAATCAATTCAACACTTCAATACCGTCAATACACCGCTGCAACCACATAATCATTCCTATAGGCGCGCACGTAGGTCCCTAGTATACAGAGAGTTGCGCCAACTCAGGATTTGACTCCATGTTGTTTCCAATGTATCAACACGCTGCCGCTTAAGTACAGCGGCTGTATGGATACGCTGCCACAATGTCCGTAGTAATTAATTAGACTAATCGTGCTTCAAATTGACAGAGATTATAGCTAAGACATATGTCTATGTGTATCTAGATTTCTAGAAATGAAACTCAAATCGTTCGCACGATATGATATAGTTTAATTGTAACTTTCTTACCGCCATAGAGCCGTGCGTATCTATTTGGAAACAACATGTCGTCCAGCGACAAGCACGTGACCGATAGTTTTTCGACTCGTCATGGCGCAACTCTCTGTATATAAGGCTTCTAGCGGACGCGCCATTGTGCACAAATACACCATCAGGATAGAGAAGGTAAGAAGCATCCGCAAAGAAATTCACGAAACGCCTCGATATCTTTTCACAACATTACAGCAAAAATATAACAACGAACCGACCATGATATTGGCATCTGTGTGTAGCTGAATGGTCACTTGTTCGAAATATCCATCTTGCAACTTGGTACCGACATACTTTACCCAGAATTATATAAAAATCCTGTTCGAATTTGCGCGAATTTCCCGGAGCTGTTTCGTAAATGGGTGCAACAATCCGAAAATCCACGAAACGGCTCCGTGGGAAATTCGCGGCAAATTCGAGCAGGATTCTCTATATAATTCTGGGATAAAGTATGTGGTACCATAGTGGCAAGACGAATATTTTGAACAAGTGACCATTCAGCTAACACACAGATGCCAATATCAATGGCAGTTCGTTGTATATTTTTGCTGTAATGTTGTGAAAAATTCAAGCGTTCTGGAATTTCTGTGTGGACCTTTCTATCTTACCTTCTCTATCCTACTGCGTATTTGTGCACTAAGTGGCGTGGCACGCTATAGGAATGTGTGTTGCAGCAGTGTATTTGTGACGGTATTGAAGTGAAGTTATTAGGTCAAATCAAACTATGAATTACGCCATGGTCTAGTATCTGACAAGTTGTACGCTTATTACCATCATTATTATTAATTGGAAACGGCCAACGTTCCTGTGCTTTCAGACTATTAAATATGCTACCCACACTGGTGCACAAACAGAAATGCTCTACTTTACTGCTTCCCTTGAATGTCGTTATAGCTTATATTATTAGGATTATAGGCTTATAAGGGCATTTGCCTGAATGTCTATGATATGAAATAAATGCTATATGCCCCCTACAGTTGTTTGACCTTGGAGGGCACCAAAACCCTTTAGTCTACTCCTCCTCAAAAATTTCATTTCGCCCATGCCTGAAATATGTATGGTTCAAGGTTGGGGTCTTCATTGTGGGGCTATGCATTTTGTTGAGCTCCCATGTAGAAAAGATTTTGTAATAAAAACTGCAAGCTCAATATCATATATAATTTTTTAACTACCTGCTATTGTTTTAGATATGCTGACAATGTTTAATTGCGGCTGTTATGTACGTCATTTGTGCGGTGTGTGTAGGTGATGGCAGCTATGCTGCGATAAAAATAACCGCGGCCGGTGACCTATGGAGCGTGGTGGACACCACATTCAACACACATACAGTCAACTAGATATCAGGAGAATGAGGGAAACAAAGTAACTAAGAAACAGAAAAAGTGAAAAAGTAAAAGAAGAAGTCTGATTGCAGATATCCTATGATGCCCTAATCGTGTAATGCCAACTCTCTTCCCACGGGACGGTATTGCATAATCTTCTTTTACTTTTTTCCCTTTCTTCTTAGTTCTTTTTCCCTTCTTCTTCCTCGTCTTCTTTTTTTTAGCTTTTTTTGCTAGACCATCGGTCAAGCTGAGCTTAATTGCCATGGTTGTCGTACGTCGTCCATTCCGTCAGTCAACATTTTGCGCTAGGTCAGACGATAACTCAGGAACGCGTTGACCCACATTTTTGAATGGGTATAGTTGTTACTGCATATGCTCCATATAAACGTCCTAATTTTGGAGCATCGCCAGATCGACGTACTTTCGAGCCACGGCAATTGTTTTGGGACAATAATAGGAGAATTGCATTAGTCTAAGTTCAAGTTCAACCGATTGTTGCTCATTTTTGGTACCGTATGTGAAGAATAAGGGCTGGGGTTTTGGATATTAAAAAAATTATGCAAATTAGGTAGGGTTTGGCAATTATATAGCATATTATTATATGACACACAGAATAACAACCAGTCTGTGGTGTCACACTCGTCTGGTTGTTTTACAAGATTTCATTGACAATATCTTTAATGCAAAATTCCTGCTATGAACATATGATATAACGATTTATGCTAGGAAACATCAAAGCGGGTATAGCGCCATCTACCGTCACAAATTGTGATTCATTTTGGTTTATAAATTATTTATGATTTATTTATATTATTTATTATTTTCACATAAAAAATTACACATATAATTATCAAGAGTATATAATAGGAGTTTAAAACTGACTTCTTCTCACTCACTCATTTGTGCCCTTTTTTTTCCTTATTCTTTTTCTTTTGTATTTATATTAACTACTTCCAAACTTCCACTCAGGAAAGCATGAAATAGGTAGGATTAGGTTCATGTATATTTAACTCGTAGAATTTTTAGTTTCAATAACAGTTACTCTTTTTGCCCAGATGTCTAGTTTTACAGCAACTAAAATACTAGTTGCTTGTCTTTGTCATCACTAGCGACTGGTTATTGCCGCTCGTCTTTCAGGTGTGTTCCAACGCAACAAGAGTGTATGTGCAGTCGAGCATTATGGAGCAATTTGTGACCAAGCTCATCAGGGAGACAGAGGGACTGAAGATCGGTGATCCACTAGAAGAAGATACTCGTATTGGTGCCACCATCTCTCAGAAGCAGCTCGACAAAGTTGTTGGTGCGTAGAAGGGAAGATTCCACTTAGTTAGACATAGCAGGAGTGAAGGTGCATGTTCATAGTACTGACCTATATATTCTAAACTTCAAATATAATTTTCTAGGTCTGCATAATTAGCTAATAATAGGCTATTATAAGTTGGTCCTAAAAAGTCCTGGAGATTCCTAGCACATGTCAAATGTGTCTGCATTTTACCAATCATAATAACGAATATCACCAACGGTCACCAACTTCGACGACTCGTTCCAAGCAATCGCACGTTCGCGTCTGCTCACTGGCACCATCTTGTTGCGACAGCTTTCGTCGGGCGGGCCATCGAGGAGGGAGCCAAGGTGGAGACGGGTGGCAAGCGCTTTGTGCCGACCGACCCGCATCTCGAGAACGGCTTCTACTTTTCGCCGACGATCATGACGAACTGCCGCGACACGATGCAGATCGTTAACGAGGAGATCTTCGGCGCCGTCGTCACGATACTGCCATTCGAGACCGAGGAGGAGGTGGTGACGCGAGCGAACAACACGCGGCTAGGACTCGCCGGCGGAGTCTTCACCAGGTGCGCTCGTACACGTGTGCCTCCCTGCTTCCTAGTTACTCAGCTAGTCCGTGCCACTCATGCGCCATTATCTATCCTTTTATACATTTATTAGTTATTATCTTATTATCTTATTTGTTATTAGTTAGTTGCTGCTTTGAGTTATTTCATCTTTGCAGTGACCACGGCCAGCATTTTGGAGGTGGTGGTGGTGGTTTGTGTGTGTGTGTGTTGGGGGGGGGGGGCCTTGGAGATAGCATTGCAATGTAGATATGATAGATAGCATATGTAAAGATGTGTATTGCCATGTGGCATGCGCATAGGCTGAGTGCCGAAAAGGTTATGTTGTGCATGGGGATTTTATAAGGGCGCGGTGATCGCAGCACTTTGAAATCATTTGCGCTTGGCCTCGTCCAATGGGTAGGGCATGGAGAGAAATCAGATAGGGCAGCCATGCTATTTTATCACTGTGGACATCGGTAAGATTTTTATGACTTCATGGTTAGCAAGGCAGGCACATACATACATAGCAAGGCAGGCATTCTACATAGCACCTTTTTGTGCACAGGTAAACCAGCAGAAAGGAAACACAGGTTGTGTCCATACAATTAAAAGGAAATCGTCTGCAGGGAATAATTCTTATTTTGTTTTGCACAGGGATGTGCAGCGTGCCCACAGGGTAGCCAATAGGCTGCAAGCTGGAGGCATTTGCATCAACAACTACAACATCTACCCACCCGAGGTACCCTTCGGTGGACACAAAATGTCCGGTAAGTAATGCTGAATCAATGTCATAGCCTTTGGCTATGCGCGTGTGAACTAGAGCTTTGGAAGTGTTATTCGAAATTCGATTGCATTAATGAATCTCACGTAATTTTGCTGCTCTATTCAACAGGAATCGGCCGAGAGAATGGTTACGCTGTCATTGACCATTACACACAGTTGAAGACTATATACGTAGAGATGAACAATGTAGAAAGTCCCTTCACAGGCTGAGACTAGAGGCAGTTTTTACCATATGTTGTTGGCCACTGGCAAGAATGTTACATGAGCTGGTGTTGCTAAACTTTGCCAGACATTGGTGAAACCAAGTGATTTTGCAGCAGCCTGCTGCAAACTGGCACGACTAACTGATATTACCATTTCAATACCGAGTGATAATGTTTAGGCAGGTAAAAATCCACTCTTCAGCAGAAAATTTAAGAACCCGGTAATAAAACATTACCGTGATATTAATGTGATTATGTAATAACACGGTAATACTGAATGGATGATTAATATTCTCTTTGTTATGTTTGCTGTATTTCGATATACGATGCAATCGATCATATTTTTGCAGCATGTTGTGCAGACTATATAAAGATGTCGCAAATATAAATCCAGTATTTGGCTCGTGGGGTAACATTTTTATTTGTTAGCATGTGAAGTCAACAATCACGTGGGGCGTAACAATCCCGAATTTAATTTCAATCAGGATTAGTTGCTTCAGCAGACTATTGTATTTAAGATGTGATCATCTCCAAGACGTCAGCAAATTTGTAAATTTGTAGCCAGGCATCGATGCATGTGTGGGTAGGTTAATTTTGAACACCTGGTTAAGAAGTCGAGATGAATTATTTTATAAACTGGTTTTGGAAATTAATATGGGACCAGGATTAGTTTGTTTCCACCTTGCTGTAGTTTTCTCAGACAATCAATGGTCGAATAATTATGCATTTACAGTTCATATAAACGTAAAAGGTTATTGACAAGCATAGTATGTAACAGTGTACGTACAACTTGTAACAGTGTATTTATGAAGTAGTCAATTGCACAAACCTCTTTGTAATAACAGTTATCGATGTTCTGGTGAAAATGGTGTTCAGCATTGGATAGCAGCTAGACAACCTATAGTCATGTTTGTTTATCTGTAGGCGAGTGTTTATTACTAATTGTAATAGAGGATATGCTTGAGGTTGTAGTTGCTATTTGTGTGTGTGGTGTAAACATTTTATTATTAATGACAATACATTTATGGAGAAAATAACTATTGTATACACACTTGATAATAGCTCAGAGTAATATAGACATTACCACTATGCTGCATGTACTCACAAATTTAATGGGCAGCACTATGGCAGTTGTCCAAGCCACAGTAATGCTAATGCAATTTGGGTTACTGATGAAAATAATACAAGACTGAACGAACTGATTGAGCGATCGCATGTTGAAGGCTACTGAAATACATATCCGTGTTCATTTACAACTTCGATAAATCCTGTAGTGGAGCCCAACGGATACTAATGCGAGAAAGCAGGATGTTGAATAATAAATACTTGTAGACGACCCTTTATTTTTCATCTATATGTCACTGAACAAGTGTCTCATAAAACAGTCGTGTACATGTAACAATGAACATGTACAAATAAACAATTAAAAGTGGATGTATATAAGTCGATCGGAATTCTATATGCAATTTGGAATAGTTATGCTGATCTCTGATCATGGTAATTACAGCTGGTAGGGATATAGAGCACGAAACTTAATATTCTGTAGTGTTCAAATTGTTAACAATAAAGAATTTTATTATTAGAATGCTGATTGGTAGCACATTTATAAGATGTACAACTATAAATTATAATAATACAATGTTCCTGGCGCACAATTTTAAAAGATTATTAAATGATTAGATCAAGTACCTTTGCCACACTTATTTTGATTACGTGCGGATAATGCTGAATTTTTCCCTTGGCCCAGGCGCAGATTTAGATGGGGGCACATCCGGCCTGTGCCCCCCCTTTTGAAACCTAAAAAAAAAAAGAAGCTATATGTACTCCTGATCGACGCTGCGAGTTCGACAGCCCGCGTGTGCAAAGTTGAAAGAATTTTGCAGGACCATGGAAAAACCATCAAACCGCAGGTTGACGACGCGTACAAATTATGCAATCATTAAGTGGTCACCGAGATGATGGCATCGATGTCTCTTCCAATACTAGTAATTTTGGAAACTTCAAAGCCCTGTTGGACATGAGGATTGATGCTAGCTGTAGCTTCTGCCATGTTGATTCGTCGACTACATCTACTGATGATCCGGTGTCAATCATCATGTTGATCGGTACGCCATTGACACCGACGACTGCGTGAGGTAGACGGTCATGTTGGTTAACTGAGTATACGTATTCGACGTCTGAGTCCCTATTGCCATCACCCGACGTTGTCACTTGACTAACCTGAGCTGATCGGTGTTTGAAAAATGCCTTTTTCTTCTTCTGAATGCACTCTGGTTGTGGCTGGCTGGATGACTTGCACATTCTCGCGAAGTGGTTGGGCTTTTTACACTTAGCACAAATTTTGTTCCGTGCAGGACAGCTCTGTTGACCCCCTTGATGGGGCCATGTATTACCGCAGTTCACACAAATGTTATCAGATGCAGGTTGCCCTGAGTTTGATTACACCTTGCAATAGCTAGACTTGTATGCCTGTGGCTTCCTCCGCTGTACCCTGTTAACAGGAGCTGTTGTGCTGGCCTGACCGTTGTTGTTGTTGGAAGTCATTTCCTTGTGTTGATTGTCAGTCAGCTGCAATGTTCTAGCAACTTCCACTAGCTGGCTCAGCGTAAGTTTTGGATCACTTAGCCCCTTTTTCATGACTCTGTCATTACCAGCACCGGAAATCAGTTGTGATTTCATTTCTTCATCTTTGGAAGCAAAACCACAGGTGTCAGCTAGCTGGGATAGTCTACTATAATATTGTTCAATTCATTCATCACCGGCTTGGTAACAATGTCTGAACAGGTAACGCTGAAATTCCCTGTTTTGTTTTGGACTGAAGTAATCTGACAGGGCAGATACAGCACGATCAAACAGTTTGTCTTCAGTTCCAAGACGAGGAATTTTATCGTCTTCAGGAAGCGAGTCAAAAATGTCATTTACCTCATCCCCTGCGAGTGTTAACATCAGTGCCTTCCTCCTTGTATCGCTGGAGATATCGTAGGCTACGAATATATTGTTTTTGAGTCAATTGATCCATTTAGTCCACCGTATCCCGACTGCTTCACTACGGCAGTCAAACGCGGGATACTGCAAGTACTGTGGTATGGCAAGGCTCGACACTAACTTTTTTTTTCAGTGGCCCGATCGGG